CAAATCTTAACCGATTTCTTATTAAAATGTCAAATTTATTATTGTAACCAAATTCCGCCACACATACTGAATTTCATTGGAATCGGACCTACATATCGTGTTTGGTGCATAACATACATAAAATCGGCCGAAATATATGTATGGGAGCTATACCCAAATCTTTTATAATTTAATAAATACATCGTTAGACCAAATTCAATCACATGAAGTTCTCCACTAATAAAAAAACGTTGTTTTTATAAAAAACAACAATAAAGGGATAAAGCCTGACCATTTTGCAACAACAAAATACTACGGTATCCCGAACAAACAAGCCACACTGTTCAATTTGACAAATTCATTTTTGTTCCCAATTCCGTTACTTATTTCAAATTTCATTAAAAGGTGAGATACATATCGTGTTTGGTGCACCAAATTCATGAAATCGGCCGAAAATGTATAAGGGAGCCATATCCAAATCTGAACCGATTTCAATGTCATTTGGGAAATAAGGTTTTTAGATAACGTTTCAAATTTCATTGATATTGGGGATACATAACGAGTTTATTGCATCTAATGCTTGAAATCGGCCGAGCTATATCCAAATCCGAACCGATTTCAATATAATTTGGCATATTTATTTTTGTTCCAAATTCCTTTCCACATAGAGACGGTATCTGTAATCGATCAATAGATATGTGCATAAAAAAATTATTTTTTTGAAGATACCTCTGATTCTGATGCTATATCTCCAGTTCCAAATGGAATTTCAAAAATGTATATAGCCTATGTTACTTTCAGGCGATGTTGTAGAATACATGGAAACAAACAAACAAACAGACATTTTCCTCGTATAGATCTATTTTAAAATGGTATTCTTGGTTACACATTTTTGTGCATAACGAATGCAAATTAATTTTTGGATGAAACTATTATCTAGTGAATCAATTTTTTCTATTTTATGTCATTCCAAAGCATATAAAAGTGTGTGTCCGATAAGAAGCTATTTCTGTATCGTAGACTCTTAAGTCCGCCTTGGCGCTTTGATTGAAGCGAAATGAAATTTTAATGTAGTAAAATTACACCATTTTTTGATACATTTTAACGAAAATTTCACTATTTTTTTGGCAAATTTTATTTCTTAGCTATAGTTTGTTTTGTAAAACAGTTAATTTTTAAATTAATAAAAATTTAATAAATTTAATAAATTACATAAAAACACTTTTATACGGGCTGTGTATAACAAGTTTTTTGCTACACCAATTTGCTTATTTAATTTGCAAAAATAAACAAATCCGCGTAATTCAATTTAGTAAACCGTCAATTTTACTGACAATCCGTCATGCAACATTTATTAAAAATGGAAGCCAGAAACTAATACATATTTGTATAAACATACGTTACGTATATACGTCAAGTGCAAACTAGACGCAAGTAAAGGGAGTAAAAAAGAAAATAGAACGTAAACTCAATTAATTTTATACTTTCAATAAAAAAACAGTAAAAAAAATCAAAACTCGTTGGGGGCCGACTATATTATACCCTACACCACTATGCGTATTTAGTAGAGCTCCCGTAAAAAATATATATTTTGGGAATTTATGTATACCAACTATGAACCGTAGTTGAATGCGTATCATGGCTTTAGAGTTGTCATAATTTGGGAACTATAACCGACTCTGAATCGATTTTCATCAAATCTGACGGAGGCTTTTGTACCCCTAGTACCAAATATAATGCATGATATGACTTCGATAAGAATTATTTTAAAAAATATTTTTCAGAGCAATAGATACGAGTATACCAGGCCGCGTTTCACCAAATGGAAAAATTCGGTTGAATATGAAAAAATCTATCCAATTTGGCTGATATTACATATATTGTGAACTATAACCGTAAAATCGGATGAAGTATATATCGAAGGCATATTAAAATCTAAACCGATCTCGATGAAATTTGGCATCGGTATCAAATATCATTGACAAAATTTTAGGCACTTATTTCTGAGCTATATCAAATATCTGGTACTAAAGATCATTATAGTGGAATGCATATTACACATGTGAGAAACTTAAAATCCTAAATCGGATGAGACTTGAATATGGGAGCTATAGCTATATCTGAACCGATTTTCATCAAATTTTAATTACTTGTTTCTAGGATACATTTAGTCGGAATTGCCAAGATTCAGTTCTGTTAGACTAACATTTGGTGCACAATAAACCTGATATCGGACAAAGATATATATGAGAGCTATCCAGATCTGATCCGATCTTGATAGAATTTGACAGAGGTATTCTGGCTGTACCTAAATCTGAACCGATTTTCAATAACATTTGAAGTTCTTCCTTCTAGGCTGAATTCCATCGGAAGTGCCAAAATTCAGTTCATTTGAGGATTAAATTATATATGGGACCTATATCCAAATCTGAACCGATCTTGACAAAATGTTAGGCACTTATTTCTTAGCTGTATCAAATATCTGGTACCAAAGACCATTGTAGTGAAATGTATATTACACATGTGAGGAACTTACCCGATTTTCGCCCAATTTGATTTACTTGCTTCTAGACTGAATTAGGGATGTGCCAAAATTCAGGTCATTTGGACTGATGTTGGACATTTGGTACAAAATTATTCCGAAATCAGTTGAAGATATATATGGGGAAATATATAAATTTTTCCCGATCATCTCCAATAGGGGTTGTCCTTGGGTCAAATAAATTATTTGTACAAAATATCATCTCGATCGGGCAATAAATGCCATCTTTACTTTGTTTACAAAATACATGGACAGACGGACAGACATGGATAAATCGACTCAGAATGTGATCTGCTAGAAGATAATTAGGAGGAACTATGGGTCTATCTCGCTTTCTTCTCCATGTTAAAAACAAATGTACAAAGACATATGTGGTGTAGGGTATAAAGACGTGAAAAGAGCAGGCAAAGTTTTCAATTTGTATTTATTTTATAAGTAAACTTTTTGGTATTCTTTGCAATTTTGTGGCATTTTCATAAAAATATATATTAAGCTAATGTCTCTCATATATTTTTATATAAAATACTTCTACTAAATTTTCTAAGTAATATTAACTTTGTCATTTTTGTTAACTGCTAGAAATAAACATTTTAGACCCCTAAACGTTTTAAAGGTGAGCAAACCCGTAAAGTGACGACTAGTGGGACACTTACTCGTTTGTATCGCTCATACTAAAAGTACAGAAAAAATGTAATGTTCAATGAAATAATAATAATTTTTTTTAAATCTTATTTTACAAAAAGAAAACAGAAAACGTTTTTAACTTTATATAAGTCTATTTTCTATTTCAATTTTAAAATAATTGGATCAAATATTTTATATTATTTCTATCTGAATAAAATTACATATTTCGTCTCCTATTTTATGGGTTTTTGTCGTTATAATGTTTTTTTTTAACTACATTAGTTTTTGCGCATCACTTTCTTTAAGTTTTACTTCTCCTAGTCTTTAGCTAAGAAACAAACAGTAGGCGCTACATGTGTCATCGCAACAAATCTTAGTCGTATGCCAAAGTGAAAATTTCATTGATGTCAAATCGGGTTTATAGAAAGGAGATGGGAAGGATTTGAAACTCTATACAGAAGCTTGTGTGTTTTGAAATTATATATATTCTTATTTATTTGAGTCCTAACTCATTTCTTCTTCAGAAACTTTTTGCTTTTAACCGTGGAAAAACTTAAAAAATATTCAAGTTTTCATTCAAAAATTTAGGTGCCTACATAAAAAAGAATTTAATTTTTAATATTCTTGAAAATCACATTCAGTAGGTGGTATACAATCAAAATTTAAGTTTACTTTTTTATGAAGTAAAATAACAAAAGATGCAATTTGCAAATAAACGTTTTTCAAACCATACCTTCACGAAAATATGCATTCACACATTCCTACCCAAAAAAAAACATTTGTTATCTGCCTAATAGTTAATTTTAAGTGAATATGTAAACGACAAAACAAGTACCACAGCAAACATTAATGCATTGCAAATAAATGAAACAACTGTCAGACGCAGTCACACAACGACTGTCATACACACATGCATCCCGGCCACTCACAATTTCAGATACCTAGATGTTCATTTCGTTTCAGGAGTGCACACTCGTCGTTCCGTTCCAACAACCCCTCGTTCCTCTTTCTAGTTTATTAAACAAGCAGCAAATTTACGTGCGAACTTCCACTAATGAAATTTATTGTCCCCCACTCAAAACATTATTCAATTACCCGCTTGTAACATAAATCAACGGTAACAGACCCCATTTGCCCCGCTGGCAGTGGCGCGGAGGTAATCAACAGACTTGGCATTGCAGCAAAACAAAACAAAACAACAAAGTCTCCCCAACACCAACAACAATTGAGTACAAGTGAGAATCTGGTTGTCGCCATGATGTGTTCGCCTCGAATCCAATGATGGTGGTGGAGAGAGCGAGAGCAACTTAAATTCAATTAAACCCCAGCACTTCAATTCAATTGGTGGTGGTGTCTGCCATATTGTATTAGGCCAATGAAGGTTCCAACCCATTCACACTAATGGTGGTGGCGATGTCGAGAGATGGGCGGAGTTTGTGTTGCAAGGAAATAGAATCGAAACCTGTTTGCAAGTGAAACCTGAATATGTGTGTGAGTGAGAGTGTGTGTGTGTTTCACTCATATTTGATTGCCAGGTGAATGGGGTGCAAACACTTGCTGTTGTTCTCTACTCACCTGTTTTCTGATCGTGCGTTCGTTGGTTGGAACAGTTCTGTTAACGATCTTTCAACGTAGAGACGGAGAGCGAGAGAGAAAAAGAGAGCGAACAATTTCATTCATTGTTTTTTATTGTACATTGTTGCAGTTGTGGCGTTTGTGAGTATGCTCCATCTCATTCTCGCCCAGGTGTGTTAAGTCAAATGAATGTACGGGTGTGAGGAGTTTGATTATCGTCACTAACCGGTATTCAAACCCACCTGAAAGAATGCCTGCTTTTGTTTGCCGGTAGACCCACACCTTTGGCTACACACAGCTACAGCAAGACGAGTAGTTTGCTGTTGACTTTTATCCAGCGCGGTTGTTTACGCTGTCGTTCCGTATAGCCATTTGTTTGAAATTTATTATTGCACCGGTTTCGTATCCCCGATTGATACGGCTACTCATCGTCTAGTGTTGACGCAAATCACAGCTCCTAATTTATTAACCATAATTCAGCAGAAAGTTGTGGTGGCGTTGTGTGGGTTGAAACTTTAAAGGTGGTTGTAGTGTTTTACTCTGTTTTGTCGGGATTTCGAGGCAAAAAATTGGGTGCTAATGAAACTCAAAAAGTAAATTATTGTAATGCCGATTTGAGAGGTGTGAAATGAAATTACATAAATAACACAAAAATTGACAAGTGCAAGTGAGTGAATTGAAACGCAAAAAAAAAGAATCCAGAGAGATTGCAAGGCGCACCAATAAAACGCTAATGTAAAAAACACTTTGTTTTAATAATCAAAAAAAAACCGACGGAAGTTTATTTAAAATAACAACAAAGATTTGGATATTTGGTGAAAAAATCACAAAACAGAAAAGCTACGAGCAACGGATCACCATTTAAAACAATATACACAACTTTTTTGGATTTTAATTTAATACTGGTGAGTGATTTAGAAAATTTAGAATTTGAAAATTTTTAACTTTTGTAGAGAAATAAATAAAGAAATTCAAAAAAATAAAAGATGATGGATATTTAGCAGAGGTGGTTCTATTGAAGGGGCTTAATCTGAAAACACTTTAAACTATGACTTATTTCAATGGGATTTATCTTAAGCCAAATCGGCGAAATAAATTGTCAACTAAATTGAAGACAATGATTGAACATAAAGGTAATGAACAATTTCACATACTATAGCGAGCGGTACAATTCCTCTCAATTGTTGCGAAACTTCCGCATATTAGTCACGACTCAAAATTGTATCGACGTGGGAGCTATTTGTTTGGAAAACACCGTTTAAATGAATCCACTTGTGATTCTAGTTCCTCGGTTGTCATGTCTGTTTGTCTACTACTTGGATGCTATCGCGAACTAAGATACTTGGTCCACTTCATATATTCTTTAGCCTCGGTATCTGCCAATTATTTTGACATTTTCAGAACAACCGAATTTTCCAAACAATTCGATTTCCAACCAAATCGACTTTTATCGATAGCACATCTAGGCAACTTTGAACCGTTTATTAAGATTAATTTTCATATTTGAAATAGATATTCATTATTTCTTTTCGAAATGAAGAGACACTATCGAAGAATATTTTATGGGCGTTACTTTAATTTTCTTGAAAAAAAATTGTATATATAAAATTATGGGTTAACTTTGTCCAATAAAAATCATCAGGAGTATCAGATGCGGAAGGCGCTAGTTTTGAGCTTTTATTTGTTTTGTATTGCGTTTCTTACAGTATTTGGTTATATAATTATAACCGTTACCAAATTGTTGCCAATTCAATTGGACATGTGAAAAGTAATTGAGGTATAACCACATATAGCGGTTATTGTAAACTTGGACTTACAATTAAGATTTTTTTTTTTTTTTTTGCAAAAATGTGTTCTACCCATTAGAATTCGGTAATATCAAATTTAAACTTTTCGACTAAAAAATGTGGCTTATACCGGCCGGATCAATGTATACCTATCCACGTTTATATATATCCCCATAGTTTCCCCCACTCTCATTATGAATAATATCTTTCTGGAAAAAGTCCTATCTTTGATATACATATAATGGTAATTTCTAATTTTATAATTTTCTTTCTGATTTTTTAATTTTTAAATGTTAAAACTTGAACCAAAAATGATTAGAAATTGGGGCTGAAATCTAGAATAAAAGAATGTTATTAGACGCTACATGAAAGCCTTACTAAGTATTGGACCGATATCGAATTTTTTCTCTAAGATGGGTTATATTCTTTGAATTATACTTCAAAAATGTTTGAACCTGAAAGGAACCTATATTGATTTTGTTTTGCGGAAAAAGATTCTTCATAATGAGAATCGAAAATGTCCAATACAGCAACATTTTCAATCACTGATAATCAGGATATTTCATTATGTGGGGCCTATATTTCAACGGTCGATAAACATATATTGTTCGCTATGTCAAACTTTTCAAGAATGAATTCAATATACAAGGTTTAAAGGGCTAAGTACATAACAAGCTTTAAGTCATGGCTGGGCATATTTTGTGACATTTCACAAAGGGATTACAGAGCCGCACTAAAATCCAGCCGTCGTTTTCCATTATAATTTGACATTAATATGCCTAGCCATGACTTCAAGCTTCTTATGTACTTAGCCCTTAAAAGCTCTAATTTTTTTAACGTCATCGTCAATAGACAAACTGTTAATGTTGTTGCTACCGACGGACTTCTGCAGCTGTTATTGATGAAATGGCAAAATTTTAACATTTTATGGTGAAGTTATATAACTGTTTGGAGCCTTATCTGGAAAATGATATGTGGCTATCTTCGGCAATGTTCTGACTAACAAAAAATAATAACAACAGGAGATCAAGTTGATAAAATAGTTTTTTTTTTTACACAAATACACGTTTGACTTTTTCATTCAATTAAATTTTTCTAATTGTCGTGTTAGAGAATTAAATTGAGTAATTTGTATGTGTGACTCTAATGTAAAAATCTATTCTCGTTGCATTTATGGCAGTTGACAATCTCAATTGATTTACGATACAAACGAGTCGAAATTAAATTTAATTATTTAATTAATCCAGTTAGTCGAATGTTAAGTATAATTATTATTTATATTGATGATTGTTTTATTGTGCGATTGTTGGAGAAATATAGTGATTTCATGTTGACATTTGCAATATGAAGTTGTTGCATTGACAAACTAGTCCCTCGGACAAAGGGCGCGGAGTGAAACCCCTAAAAATTTTAACAAAAATACTATTTAAACTACAGCCAAATGCAGATTGGCAGTGTTTAATAGTTTGCCATAAGCAGCAATTTTATTTTGGCCTTTGACATGATGATAACATTTTACACAGAAATGTTTTAGGCCTGCAGGACATTGGGTATCGGCAATACGTTTTGGTATATGCCCCACAAAACTGTACCGGCAGATTCGAGGGATTTGGATGTTTGAGTCACAATTTCCAAACGAATATGCTGCAAATAAGTAGCATGTGTTCCCAGTATATAGGAAACATCCTTGCAGGGAACTTTTCATACATTTCTAAGTTTTGGAATAGATCCCATATGAATGTACTTCCAGATATTCGATATTTTGATGATTTGTGTCACACTTTTTACCGAAATTGTTTTAAATTTTGTATTTGGAGTTTCGATATTACCTTTTACGACAGAAAATTTCCCGTGTAGACCCACACTTTCGTACAAGCCCTATATAACGGTATCACCCTATATTCGGTATTTTCATAAGCCAAATTTTTCAACAGAATTATCTCAATCTTTGTATTTGCAGTTCGTAATAGGCACTACCTTTAGTGTAGGCCTCATATAACTGTACCTCCAGATATTCGGTATTTTCATGAATTTTATCTTACTTTCCACCGGAATAGTTTTAACGTTGGTATTTGGAGTTTGTAATGGGTACTACTTCCTATGATAGAAAATTGTCTATACAGGTTCACATTTTCGTTCGTAGAGTTCGCAGTGGGCACTGCTTTCTATGACAAAAAATTGCCCATAAAAATTCACATCTTCGTGTAGGATCCATATAATAATTACTCCAAATATTCAGAATTTTGATGATTCTAGCTTAATTTTTTCAACAGAGTTATCTTAAACTTGGTGTTTGGAGTTCGTAACAGACACCTACTTCCCTGGCAGATAATTGGCTGGAAAGGTCAGAAAATAGAAAAACTGTGTCTTGTACTTTTGTATTGCTCAAACTAAACGTCAATCGGCAACTGCTTCACTCATAAACCTTTGGTCCATTGTGTTCAGCCAGGAAGAATCAAGTTTTTGGTAATAGGCGAGAAAGGAAAATAAGGGTTTATAAAGAGAGGTATAGTCAGAAATGTGGTCTGCTGAGCCAGAGACTGCTTTTAGCAAACTTGTAAATGATGACGCGAACTATGTCTGAGAAGAACGTTAGAGTTTTGATTTCCCACCAACCAACTAGCCTACGTCTCTTGTTGGATAACATGGAACATCTGCAAACGTCTCCCCCTCATTTTCATCTTGAAATAGCCTATAGTAGTCAGAAACACCAACCTTGGAGTCAGATCTCAGTATGCCCAGTGTGATTCTTAGATAAGACCTACTAAGTGATATAATCTGCCAAATTGCCTTAGATATCCAGCAACCGGTATCCAAGCGCCAGCTTCTTCCAGCTTCTTCGATAAGATATTTTTTGAAGCCGCTGACATAATAGTTTATTGTTGGTTTAACAGTCGGATCAATCAGCAAAACAACCGACTGGGAACCACCTGGGGGTAGTAAGGTATGTAAGGTATAAGGTATAAGGTAAGGTATAAGGTATCAAGGAAGCTTTTTTGTAGGTAGTTACTGGTGTCTACTTAATAAATCTCTTATTTGTTAATGAGGTTTATTGATGGGTTATTAACATGTAATTTCTCATTGTGGTATGATATAAAATGTTCAGCACAGTTGAAATTTTCATTTTTTTTTTTTGATCACTGAAATGTGATTTATTTAAATTAACAATTGCAGACAAATTTTCGTAGTAAGAACCCGGTCTGGGTTTTATGAGAACATCGCAGTCACAAAGATTAACAAAGTCTTAAAATATATATCACTTTTAATCACATTGTTTCAGGGCAAATTTTTCAAGTATCAACTTAAAGATCTACATTTTCAAAATACAAAACTCCGAAAATTGTGAAAAACTTAGTCTTTTTTTATAACTTAAATGAAATAAGAATGGGTTGGATAATTTGTTCTTTTTTGAATTCAATTATTTTGTTTACGTTCCACGGAGGAAATATCCGAAAAACAATTTCGATAATAAATATGATCAAAGAGTAGTAACAACATTGCGGATACGTTTATCGTGACGATCCGTAACTTCTGATATCGAATACCACAGATACAACATCAACAAATTAGAAATGTTTCTTTGTTGTTCTCTAAACCATTGATAAACAAGCCGAAAGCGGTAAACATCAGGGCAACTAAACGGTATCAAAGAGTGTATCAGCTGATATTTTTGTTTTGTTTCAAAATACAACAAGAACAACAATAACAACGACAACAAATTACAAAAGAACACCCAATTATGAATTGTTACACAGTGTGCTTCATATCTATGGGGCATGGTATCGTCGTCATCATCAGCAACATCGAAGATCTCCCAACGAACATCGGAAATTGTTGTCAACGGAATCGGGTTATTCTCTCATTTTTCGAGGAAGGGTGAACCGCCTGTGCTGACAACCAGCAACAGACGCAATCGAATCTATGATTTGATTACAATTTTTGTTCATTTGTTTAGTTTTGTTTGGTTTGGTTTTTTGTGATGTGACATTTCTTAATTAATAATTTTATGTTTTCGCTACCTTTGATGATTGAAAACATGACTGGATTCATGTTTTCGGCTATGCCGGCGAGTGAGTGAGTGGGTCTATTGTTCGAGTGTGTCGAAACACAAACTAATT